GTATCGTATCCCGTGCATCGAAAAAATTATTTTAAACATTAAAGATATATATAAGAAAAATAAAGAATATGTAAAAGATTAAATTAGCAGCGAAAATTAATTCCCTTCTGTAGTCTAAAAATAGTAACTTCTATTGCACTGCGTCATTTCGAGAAAAATCTGTCATGTGACTCACTTAATTCTAATGATGTAAATGAAACTAAAACTCAAACAGCCAATAGTAATTTTACAGCAATATTAACTATCCAATCAAAATGCAATGAAAACCGAAACTAAGTCTGAATTAAAATTTCACCCTGACTATAACACACTTGCTCGTTTTGGCCTAGGTGGACTACTGTCTGTCTGCTGCTTCTTTCTTGCTGCAAAGTTATCAAAAATGTAAACCTTATGGAATAGGCACAATTAATGTGCCAACCCTGAGTATGGCCACAAAGGTTTATGAATAAAGGTGAATTAAATATACCTCGCTGCCAAATTTCTTATTCCTTGTGGATGTCGTTCAGCATTCTAACACATCACAATTCTAGTTGTTCAGTACGGACACACCACCGCGTTCTCTACAGATTATACTATATGTAAGATATAAAAATATGCTGAAATTGATTAACGAATTAAACTTAATTGGAACAAATTCACAAGTCCTATTTTGATCCAAATCCAAGTACAATCCCTTTTCAACCCTTATACTGCGTCACTGACGTAACTCTTTCCCTGCAATGTCTAAATTGCTTTAAACTTTTGCCCAGTCTCTAAGGATAAAAAAAAAAAAAAAAAAAAAAAAAAAAAAACATTCTTGAGATTATGAATACTACCAGCTACTTACTACGTCGCTTTTTTTTGCTGCTTGCTTATGCTTACGAAAGCTACGTTTGCTGCTTAGCTGTATTTTTCTGCTACCTAAAATGCAAGCTGCGCATATAGAAATTGTAGAACATCCCTATTATAAAAAACGTATTTCTGAAGAATTCTTCCTGTTGAAAATAAAAATGGTGCTTTATCAATAAAAAATAATCTACTCAGTAGTTTTATCAGTCATTACTGAAAAGGGACTAGTTTCGTCTTTTCTAGAGTACTTTAAGTTCTATCGACGTACCAACAAGTATGTTATGTCATATAGCCTAATTATTACACGCGCACACACACATATATATGTAAGATAAAAAAATATGTAAATAAGCCTTAGAATTTAATTTATTAATAGCTTCTTAATTCCTCATTTTAAATTTGGGTATTTCGTTTCTCTAAAAATAACAACATTTTTGGACTGCGCCATTTCTAGATTAATCTATGCCACAAAGCCTGCGTAACGCTGAAGACATAGCTCACTCGGAACTTAAAATCACAATTTCGAGAACTGAAACCTTTCCACCCTAAAACAAAACCTTCTTAATAGCAATCTCCATATTGGATATATGCGAGCTTTTAGCTTGAACCACTGTGCTGCTTGGACGCTTTATCACTGTGCTCTCATCTTATCGCAGCAGTATTAAAAAATGTAAATGTTCTTGAATAGGCAAAATTAGTCAATAAACTAATGTCAAATAAACTGTGGCCACAAATGTGAATTTAAATTAAAATGGAATTTTATCTACATCAGCTGCCAAGTTTCTATTTATTATGGATTAGCATTCTACGCAATCAGAATTCTGCCTCTTCAAATTACCATCTACGTGCTACGCCATCAACATTTACTAAGTCTTATTTTGTTTTTATTACATACGTTATACACTTTATGATAGTATACTGATTAAGCTCACTAACATAATTTTTTGACGGCTAAGAACTAAATTGACAGGTAAACCTTTCACTGCGGTATAATTCAGAGCAGGTACTCAAAGAAAAATGAGCAAGGCGTAGATTAGCGTTTTTCAGGGGATTTTAAAAATTCATTCATCAGGTAGCAGAATTAGTTTATAAGGTATTTCTCTCGCCTTCTTGGCAGGGTGGTCTGCACACTGGGCGTGTATTCCAGAGGTCTTCGGTTCGATTCCCGGCGAAGGCGTTTGTTCATCTTTCAAGTCTCTTGCTTCCAAAAAATACCTAATGTCTCTACAGTGGCGCCCGAACTAAAAGAGTGTTGGAAGATGATTCTCCACGCCCAGGATTTGGCGATTGGGTCCTCTAAAACTCCAGTCGCCCTTTAAAAGGAAGAGTATTTTTCTCGCCTTCTTGGCCTGCCTTCGTAGTGTGGTTGTCTGCCCGCGCTGGGTGTGTATTCTAGAGGTCCGTGGTTCGATTCCCGGCGAAGGCGTTTGCTCATTTTTCAAGTCTCTTGCTTTCAAAAAATCCTAATCTCTCTAAAAGTTAAAAGTAATTTTAAAACCATTCCTAAAATCCAATGAATGAGAACTATGTAGAAATTAAAGAAGCCTACAGTGATATCGAATATTTCCCACAATGCTTGTAACTATTTCAAATGAAGAAAGAATTTCAAATAATCTTCAAGACAAAGAACTGATTATTGGATTCTGTTTCTGATGTAGGAGTATGTAGTTACTTTCCCTATGAAAACTTTTCTGCACGAAAAATAAATGGCGTTCAGTATCTGCAATATAAAATATCTGTGGGGTAAACCCGGAAAATGGTTACTCGTTGGACGTAGTATGTTATTACGTACCATCGAAAGAAAAGTTGAGTGATATATTAAGCTTCATTTCAAGTAAGAATCAAGTGCTGAAGCTTGATAGCGTTGAGCGTGTAGGAGCAAGTTTCAGTTGCTGCGAGGGTGAGGGCTTACCAGTACTGTCGTAAGCTTGATAGATTCGATAAACGTGATTTTAATGCAAAATTATTGTTGTTTATTATAAGAACGTGAAGAAAATGAAAGTTTATTGTCGCGGAATATTAGTAAAATGCTTCCGTTTGTAAACTATGGACTTTGTATAACTGTCCACATATAATTAAACCAAGTTCACATAAGCACAGCTGCTCATGCGCATTTGCAAGAATTAACAAATTTAAATATCCAACAGGAAACAAACCTAGAGAAAAAGGCAAAACAGGTTAAAACGTAGAAGCAAATCCTATCACAATCTTGTGAAATCCCTGCCTAGAAGACCCAGTGAAATTATAAAAGGAAAAAGGCATGCCCAGCACACTACTAAAGAGCTTTTAAGAGTATAATGGTTCTAGGGGAAAAAAAAACCCACAAGAAAAATGCTCACAGAATAATGCTCATAGGTATAAATGTTCAAAAGAAAAAAAGCTCACACAGAAATATGCCCACATAGAAAAAAAGATCGCATGGAAAAATGCTCACTTAGAAGTATGCTCACACGGAAAAAAAACTCACATAGATATATGCTCACATGGAAATAAAATGGAGCCCGCTGATAAATAAAATACGTAGAAATATCCTTACATTAATCAATATTGAACATCGTACATATACTTGATTTGTTCAAAGAAAAATTATTTAATCATTTGAAAAAATTATTGGACAAATGCTCACATAAACCTTTTCAGGGGTGGTATATAAAAGAATGAAAACTATAGTAAAATTTTGCATGTACTATAATATTTTGTACTTCTACCCTTGTACTACATTTTTATTCTTTAATTGTTAACAGTTAATTTTTTTAACTCTATTTTTGCATACTTTTGATATGTATCTTAAAATTGGGTGTTTTTTGTTTTTATTTTAGTTTGGAAAAAAGGCAGCTGGAAGAAGCCAGTTTCCAATCGAGTGGAATCATTATGATGCAGCCTTCGAAAAATCTCCAAACAAAATTGTTACAAAAGCTCTCATAAGGTACTAAATTCATTCTTTAATTGTATCCATCCCCAGTGGTTTTTTATTTGACGGACGCATTAGTTTAGCTGTGGTTGCACGAATAAAAAAAAGAAATCTGAAACTTACATTTGGTAATCGCGAATCGTGTAAAAACTGTGATGAAATCAATGTAAAATTAAATCTTTACAATCTAATATCAGCACGTTTATGTATTCATACTTTTTGAAATATATGTCGATGTAATATATAATAAGATTACTTAATTTAAAAAATATTATTATGTTTGCTTATCCCGAAATGTTTATAAAAAATGTGTAACTTCTTTTACTATTATTTTTTTTTTCACATTAAAATTGTAATAATTTTTCACTGTATATTTTTTTCATTTTTTTCCTCCTTTTTTTCCTAATTCAAACGCCCATTTTTATCTTATATGCAACTGAATTTACAACTGATACATTTTTTATATATCTATATTACCATAGAATTTTTTGGTAATTTAAATATTTTTTCTTTAACAATTCACGTAATGTCGATATTCAGACGATTAATAATTGATTGTTAATCTAAGATATTTCTACTATTTTATTTATCAGTGGGCTTATTCCAAGTGGCATATTATCTATGTGAGCTTTTTTTTTCTAGCCTTTTTTCCAGGAGCATATTTCTCTGTGGGCTTTTTTTCCTGTGAGCATTTATACATGTGAGCATTATTCTGTGAGCATTTTTCCTGTGGGCTTTTTTCCAGTGGTCATTTTTCCGGGCACTAAAAAATATGCTTGTGTGCTTCAATATCTTTTTTGACCATTACTTACTAAATTTTATTTAGCCTTAAGTTAGAGTATATAAAAAGTATTTCGTTTAAGATTTAATTATTCTATCGAAAAATGTTTGAAACCTAATTTTTTTTTAATCCTACTCCCATCCGCGGTACTCCTGCCATTAAGCGACGATCAGCCCACTAAAAAGAAGATGAATGAAAATGAGAATTAAACTGGCATCAAAAGAGTTGTCATTAAAAAACTTTAAAAAAATGGGGCAGTTCTTGAGATGGTCATCATCCGTGTCACCCTAATGACATAAAGAGCAACAAGCTGAATCCTTGATTCGAATACGACATAAATGCCTTTGTAAATAATCATGTAAGCATTCGAAAACAAGCAACTCCAACAGATCGAGGCAAAGAATTGGGAATATTGTTCTTTTTGTTAAGCAAGATGTTCCACCTCTTACCTACAGCTGCATCGCTGATTATTATTCTTACTTTTATTGTTTATAATCCTTTTAATGTTACGCAAAGGCAGAGAGGAATCAGGCTGAATCATTAGAGATCCAGATTTAGCAAGTCTATCAGCCTGCTCATTACCAAAAATGCCATAATGGCTCTGAATCCATTTGAGGGCGATGTTTTCTCTAGAATTTCTAAGTTCTAAAAGCCTAGCTTTACAAGTATGTGCACTTTCATTGTATTTCGAATTCACAAGCGACAATATAGCAGCCTGAGAATCAATGAAAAACACAATATTGGGATTAGGACTGTCTTTTAATTTATCAGTTGCAAATGATATTGCCGCTATCTCTCCATCGCAATTGTCACAGTATTTCCCAAGAGGATAGCTAATACTGAAAGTTCTTGAATATGCGTTTTTTATAACGCCTTCTGCCGAACCATCAGTGTACACATGGAGACAATCATCAGGAGGGTACCTGCTATATAAAGTAGTCAGAGCAGCACCTTTTTAATTCGCTTTGTAAAGGAGAGCTGTTTATTGATATTCCAAACGAGATCTAGGTGGCCCTGGATCCAACATGGTTTGATCTAGAATAAGATTTAATTCCTGAGAAAAAAACTTGGCGATTGGGGGTAGGGATATCATAGACATCATAAAGATCGTAGACAGTAAAAAGGAAGGCTTTGTGGGTTTTTAATCTTTCGTTTGCTGGTCTGTAATAATTTAGAAAGTTATTTTTTCTTCGTAAGATTTTTTTAACGAGGTTTATGGCCGCCTTTGGCGCCTTTTACTTAGCGGTTCTAATTCAGTCTGAAGTTCCGTAGCAACTGTAGGGATTTTATACATGATATATAAAGATGGCAAAACCGAAAACTAATTGTGCTCCAGTACTTTTTAACTCACTGTATTTACGCGAGATGTAACTGTTCATCAGTTTCACTGGATGGTTTTTATTCACGAGGCTTTCAACAATTTTTCTTTAAAGTAGCAATACTTTTTGCTTTACGAGCATACGAAATCCTCTTGCTGAAATTAATAATTTAGACGATGGAATAGACGTAACTAGTACATCACTCAGTAAAGCATGGAGCTGATGAAGAAATACTTAGCAAAAGCATTAAATTGCATTAGTGATGTAGTGGCATAGCATATTGATTGATGATCTAAACAAATATTTTTACTTATTAAATTTATAATCCGAATGCTTGTCCAACCTTATGAAATAAATAATGCCAAAATAACATAATTACGCTTATGAAATTTCAAAGTTTTTTAAATTTGTGTTTTGGCAGCACAATGAAATTTTAAGCCTATTTCAAGATAACAGAAAACACACGAAATTAATAGATTTCCATCGCCTGTTAAACTAATTTATTAATAATAAATAAATTAATAATAAATAATAATTTATTAAATTTCAAATGTTTTCACTTCGTTTTTCCTTCTTTCTCTCAATTTATTACAATACGTTACTATATTAGGGAATGCACATGACGGTTATAATTAAGGCCATAAGGAACGCCCTTGAAAATTAATGTCTATGGGAAAATACGTTAGTTTGTTTTTCGATTGGACTGAAATACTTAATTATGTGCGAGCACGCAAGTTTTTCTTGAGCAAGAGAAGAAATGCTTTCTTGAGCGACTTTTTAAGAGAAACTGACTCGCATTTACTTTAAATACAGGAAAAACCACATTTGATACCTTGAATTTCTCTGAATATTTTGACTTTTAATAATATAAAACTGAAGTTTGAATTTTTCTGGTTAAATATTTGCTTTAAAAGATTTTAAAACTTAAAAATACATTGCTGTTATTGAACTGTTTGTTTTAACAGAAAAACAACAACACCATTAGTTAAAAAACTTAAAATAATTTTGCATAGCCGTTAAAATTTCAATGGTTTCATTAAGTCTCTAATTATATTTAATATTTTTATTAACTGGAGTTTGGAAAAATTAAGAAAAAGACGCAAAAGTTTTTATTTAGAGACTTCTGTGGTATGCTAAAAGTAAAATTTCGTTTCTCATTAATAAAAATTGTAAACTAACAGTTAAAACAAACCTAATAATATTCAAACAAAATTTATTGAATTGCTTTTACTGTATTGCTTAAAATGTTATAAAGATTGTAATTTTTTTCTGCATTTCGAAAATATTTCGATCACCATAATTATCATAGATAAGTTAAGTAAAATGACGCAAATAAGGAACGGCATTTTAAATAGACTCTTTTACATATCGCGATAAGTGAAGTTTTATCACAAGAACATAGTTTCTCAAAATGCAGAACGCTTTCGCCAAAGAAAAAAAATATTTGCTTCTTCGAGAAGTACTCTTTGTATTAGTTATTTCAGCTTCATTACGATTCAGGACATACGTGCCACCATTTTTTGAAACTTTCATGTTTTATTATGTTTGAAGTTAATGGATTGAGTGATACTGTATCAAAAAAGTCAAATTTTTCATGTTTGGATTATATATGTATTTCATTAGCGTTGCCATTTAAGGAAGCAAAGTTATGATACGCAAATAATCTTTCTGTTATTTTAAGCAACAAAGTTAGAATTTCATGCAATATTTCGTCCTAATTTATGTTCACGGATTAATATGTTTGAGACTTGAAAATAATTGTTAAAATTAATTTTAGGATATAGTTTACAATTTAGAATTTAGAGTAAATATGCTGCGAATATTGCACCGAAGACGCAGTGTATCCGGGTGTACACTAACTGGCTGTGAATGTAGGAAATTTATGCTGGGGGTAAATTCCTACAGAGAAGAAATCAGAAGATTTTTTTTTTTACTCGATTTCTTTTTATTTTCTTCCTTATCAGGTATCGCTATCTTCGTTTAGCAAAACTGAAGGGTGGGAGGTTAAATTATAAAACTTTAGACATGGCTGTTGTATTTTCATCCGTTAATTTTATGATAAAAATAATACATATAAAAGTATATTATTCGCCTAAAATTATTCCCTTTTATGCAAATCATGATTTCGTAACCAAAAGATCATAGATTCTTCATTTTTAATAGAATGCATAGAACATTCACCGAAAATTCTTCATAGAATATGAATAACGCTAATGGTATTGGGTGAGTTGGCCTATTCATTTTTCTAAATTAATTTTCGTATTATAGATTTCATGTATAGGGCGATTGTATTATAGCTACTTGGAAGTAAGATATGCAGTTGGAAAGCTACTTATTCAATCTGAGACTAATATACATCACTTCCAAACAGAAACCCTTGGCGGGTCGAATTCCAAGTACTATCAGTAAACGATTAGATAATCCTTTCAGTAAATTTTAATATAATCTGTCTAAGGGGAGAGATATCTTGGTGAAGGACTTTTAAAGGATCTGGCTCGTATGCAGTTTACAGACAGGAAAAATCACGAAGACGTCTATGCAGCCAGTCAGTTCGCCTGGAATTTAACTCAGGTTGAACTACCAGTGTGACTTTACCGCTCGGCTACTGGTGGGTCGTCAAAATAGTGAAAACTACGATAATTCCCTTTTGATAAATGAACTGGGCGAAGTCATGTTCCCCCTCCCCCCGGGAGTCGACCGGGAGCAATCCCGGCGTCCTGGCTAGATCAATATCTAAACAGACTCGATTTCTGGGAAAATATTGTTACGAAATGACCAGCCGCCGTATCAAAGCTTCCCCGCAAAGCTGGTTTACGGTTGCCAGAAAATGGCAAGTGAAGGCAGGGTTGCCATATTTGGCTAGAAATCGCCCATTTGGCAACAAAATTGGCGATATGCCATAGACGGATGAAGAATCTTCTTTAAGAATTCTTAAGTTTTGCCCATTCCGGTTTAATTTTTAAGTTATTTTAAGTTTCGGTTAATTTTTAAGTTTTGCCCATTTCGGTTTTGCCCAGCATGTTCTCGAACGCAAGTCAAAAGCTATATCAACCTGCTGATACGCGGAGTGCCTACTCTAGCGAGTTGATCGTCAGTCTAGTGCAGCTCTTCAGAGTCTCTTAGTCGATTTATCGTAGTCTATCGAGTTTTATCGTCAGTCTACTGTCGAGTTGGTGCGTCGAGAAGTGTGCTTCGTTGAGGCTATCGTCGAGTGCATCGCCAGTTGTAGCGGGAAGAGTCTCGAGGGTACGTTGAGTTCCGAGAATAACCGAACCGAGTCGGAAGCTGTACTCTGGTGCTTTGCCGTGAAGCTGTCTTCACCGTTATAGCCGGATAACCTGAAGGCTGATTGTTTCAGCGTGTTTGTCGTAGTTTTCCGACGACTGTAAAAGTATTTTTGGAGCTGTCCTGAGTAATACTGGCTAATAAATTGTGTTTTCATTGTTCATCAACTGTTGTCGCTAATCACTCCATATCCACGAACCCGTATGTAAGGAAAACGTAACAATAGTGTGTCTTCACAGTAACTAAAACCATCGTTTATTCGGAGTAGCTCATGGGAAGGGCCTTTGTACTTTTTTTCTGTCCCTTGGTCGTGGGGACGCTACATGGTTTAATATTGAAGATTGCCCTTGGGAGTTTGGCTCTACTTGGTCCACACTGGGGACGGTTGATGTGAATCAAGACACAATCCACACTGGGGACCGTTGATCTACTTAAAAATCAATCTTTGATTTTTAAGTAGATGCGTAGCATCCGCACGACTTTGTAACAACTACGTAAAGTTGACAAAAATTGTCCACTGGGTTGACAGAGTTAGCCCCCTTGATCGCCTCTATGGTGAGTATACCGTGTAAGGCTGCCTCGAACAAAGCCAGGTTTTGGCGCCTCGTCCTCCTAGTGTACTGCTAAGTCATGTTATGTAATAAGAAGAATACACTTTAAAAAGAACCTCAAAAGCATCAATTTTTTTCCAGAGATACAGGTTCGTTACAAGTTGCGGTTTCGCGTACTGTTACCTTGCAAAAGATGATCACACTGTTGCCAGTCAAAGAGCTATGTATTGGCATGAAAAGTTTTTTCGCCATTGCCTAACGAACACGTGCTACATTGATCAGAAGATGTATCCATCAATATTATTTTTCTTAAGTAAACATTCGAATTGAAATAGGTCCTGGTGCTACAAAGTTACGGTTATTGAAAATCTGGTCTGCGATTACAAACCTCTAAGAACCAAAACTACGAATACTGAGCTGACTGTTCAAGTTTAAAGCTAAAAAACCTATTTTTCAAAGACCCAGATGGTTGCATTTTTTCGAAAGAGATATTGTAGATAAACAAGTACAAACTTGGTTAGCTGAGGAATAATTGAACTGTGTTTTTTCGAATGTTATAG